GGCGTAATTTAATGAAGCTCTCTGAATGGAAAGGGAAAAGGAAGTGCCAAGGTTTAAGTAACATCCGTTTTTGGTTGACTTTCAACCCCTCCGCCCCAACACACCTTAATATAAATGGCCTTAAAAATCACGTTCGAAGGCGCTTTCTATTCTTTTTTGATACGTTTTACTAAAGTTACTTCCAAATACAAATAGTAGCATATGTACCGCCATTCAGACAGAAGTGTGGTTTTAGAAGTTTTTACCTTAAAATGAGGATTTCGTGTTCAGAATAGTTTTCTCAGGGTTGGTTCTTGGACACCAAAATGAGCGTGGTGCAATGGCACCCCCATACACAGCCACCAAACGCGGCTGTAACAGAGGGAGCTCTGCCCTACAGGAACACTGCTCCTACCTCGGTCATAGCTCCCAACCGGTGGCTCCGAAACCCAGCCTCAAACAACCGGGATGGAGCCGCCGGAGCAGCCAACGAAAAGCGATTGAATTGCTTCTGTTTCGGTTGCTCATGGAAAGCGAATAGGAACTCACACTACGACATCTTTAAAAATAAGTCTCTATATATAACCACCCCCCCAACAATAAAACGAAAAGATGGCCATATATAATAGTATCGATAACTGTCCCCGGTGTCGATACAATCACAAACGAGGAAAACTGGGCAGCGGCGGAGGAAGCTCCGGAGAGCCACGACTCGAGGCAAACGAAAACAGGAGTAGGCAGCACTGCACTTCACACCCGACCTCCTTGCCACATTTTTTTTTTCCGCAGTCGGCCAATTGTGCTGTGCAGCAAACGTGGAGGGAAAGGTATTTTAGGAAAAAAAATCGAAAAGTTTCTTCGCAGGCGGAGTGCGCGCGGTGGCAGCGGAACGGCAGGAGCCGGGCGGCAGCGGCCCGGGAGGCAGGGACACCGCTCACGGAGCGCGGCTCTGCGCTCGGAGAGTTTCCTTAATTTTTGTTGTTGTTTGGAAGGGGTAGGTTAGCGTTTTTGCGGGGGGAGGTTCTCTTGTTTATTTTGGAAAGTGCGCGTGACCAGACCCTCCACACAAATCCCTTGAGGTGCTGGGTCACCCTCGGCCCTACCTCTTGTTTACAGGCCCGGAGAGACCCCGGCGTTTGCTTTGGCCGCTTTCTTGGGTCGCGGCAGCCTCTCGGCTGCTGGAAGTGAACCCTCAACGAAAGCAAAAAAAAAAAGGAAACGGCAGGGGCTTGCCCCCCGCGCCAATGTACCCCTGCCCTGCGGGG